GCTTCGCAATTTTCGCAAAAAAGTGCGCTAATAGTGAACACTGGAAGTCAATATGAAAAAACTGGGGTTACAATAAAAGCATTGAGAAATCTTTCACAATATATTCAAGAGGTGAAAAAAAATCTAGTCTAGAAAAAAATATAATGAAACTCAAAACTTCGAATTTATTCTCGGATTGCGCATTGTGTGTACTAGATTCCAGAACGATCGTCTCAGATTGGTTTGCTGTTTAGTCTTGAGAAATCTTCATCATTAGGTGTTTCACAATTTTGCCCAGAGGAAGGACTATTTGCAAGCATGTATGTGGCTATTGTATATTGGAAGATTCAGAGCCATTCTGCCTATCCGAATTAGCTTATAACATAAAAATTTATGGAAAGTTACAGAGTTTAATAAATGGACTCGTTGTTGCTAAGTCTCTTTCTGGCTAGTGAGTGTTTCGCATAGGAATAAAAGTATCCGACTGCAGAACATTTTGAAAGCTGAACATTTCTTACTTGAAATTGTTCAGAAAATAAACTCATAGTTGATAGGGCGGAGTTTCATAAAGGGAAAGATTCTGGGCGGATGCGAGGCCAAGCTTTTTTAAAGCGATATTTTTACGATTTTACTTTTACGAGACTCTAGACCAGCGAACACTGACAAATTGACAACGCGGCAAAGCAAGTTTGAGGGCGATATATAAGTGCTTATTATATCGAGGGTTTCAAATGAAAAGGGCGAATCTTGAAATTTCGAAAAAGTTTTATTTGAAAATATAACAAAAAAATAAGTAAATATGTTCTTCGTGACCTGGCATTTTAGTATTTTAATAAAATGTTACACTATTCAAAAAAGTAAAAATATAAGTTTCATTTCATTGATTTCTAATTTATGTTGGAAGATTCAGAACCGTTTTGCTCATTTGAATTAGTTTGAAGCATTTGTAAAAATTGTTCAGACACTGCTATCTTAAAATTGTTCAGAAAGTGTTCCCATAGTTGATAGTATGAGTTTTGCAAATGAAAAAAGTGCAGCTTACCTCAGGTCGTGTTTCAAGTTTGACAAGCAAACGTTGGTGCTTGAAAAAAAAAAAAAAAAAAATGAATCTTGAAATTTCGCAAGAGTTCATTGTAAAATATAACAATAAATAGATAGGTTTTCTCTGAGCTGGCATCGGAGTATTTCAATATAAAGTTACACAAGAATATACTTTTTAATCTATTAATGAAAACAGCTTTTTTCAAGTTATGTCCTTTTTAGGTTAGCGCCCTCGATAAACTATGTTTTGATTTTTAGAACATAATGGGACATATTTATCTTTGAGAATAGGTATATAATACGACCTGTTAGTGTGACGGGTGTTTTGTCCAGATCGAATATGAAAATATCTGATCGGTTAGTCGTTCCAGATGCGTAGGGATGGAATTCAAAACAACTTAAAACCCCGTACGTGTGGTCGCAACGGTTTGCAGATATTTATGTATTACTATCGTATATTCTATCTATGGCACATAATAGGTTTGAGAGTATCTTATCATATGAAGCCATTTGCCGCAAACCTTTCGTGTGAATTTTCGCCTCATGCTCGCGTGCGAATCAGAAATTTTAACAGAGCCAAATTCTCATAAAGTAGTTGTTGTTTTGTTCACGTCTGATGTGTACTAAATCAGTCTGAGAAAACTGGGGTTACAAGACAAGCATTGCAAACATTTTACAATTTATTTAAAAGGTTAAGAAAAAATATAGTATAAAGAAAAATACAATGAAACTCAATTTCGAATTGAATCTCAGATTGGGCATTGTGCGTACTAGATTCCAAAACGTTCGACTCAGGTTGGCTCGCTGTTTGATTTTGAGAAACTTTTATCATTAGGTGTTTTACATTTTTGCCCCGACCAGACGTGGCTATTGTATATTGAAACGCTCAGAGCCATTCTGCCTATCCTAATTAGTTTAAAACATTTGAAAAAAATGACCTTGTAGTTGGTTGTGCGGCGTTTTATAAAAGGAAACACTGTAGCTAAGTCTTGAAGGTAGCCCATCACACAACATTATGCAAGTTGGAACATTTGTAAAAATTGTTCAGAAAATAAATTCATAGTTGATGGCAGAAAGTTTTATAAATGGATAGATTCTGGGTGGATGCGTGGCCGCGCACTTGTAGCTTTAATAGAGCTATATTTTTACAAGTTTACTCTCACAAGACTGTAGACAAGGTAACACTAATTATTCAACAAATAGCAAACCAAGTTTGAGGGCGATATATGGGAGCTATTATTAAATTTGGGGTTTCAAAGCAAAAGGTCGAATCTTGAAATTTGGAATAAATAGGCCTCTCTGAGCTGGCATTTGAGTGTTCCACTAAAAAGTTACACAATTTGAAAAAAGTAAAAACATACGTTTTATATCATCTATTTTTAAAGACGCTTCCACAAGATTTGGGTTATAGGCGTGAAGCAAATTAAAAATAAAAATGTTTGTTAGATTTAATATTGCTCGTCTTACTTTGGATATTTACATTTCTTTATTTTAGATATTTGCATTTCTTTATTTTGGATATTTACATTTCTTTATTTTGGATATTTACGTTCCATCCACCTATTTCAACGTGTATTTTGAATAAAACATACTTTCGCCCTACAACTGTTATTTGTAGTCTCTTGTTGACTAGTTATTTTTGAGGTGGGCGCGACACTTGACACAAATTCTGAAAAAGTGGCGCAGCATCAAAAGTTCAAGAACCACTGGTCCAGATCGAGTATGGGGAATAGATAACCAGTGGGTTCTTCCAGGTGAAGGAGCATGTAACTCAAAACAAAACAAAAAAAAAACCTACGTGTAGTCACCTCGGTTTGCTGATATATCTACTTATTACAATCCTCTCCGCTGAGACCCCGTGAAACTCAAATTTTCAAATTAAATTTTAAACTGCACTGTAAATATACTAGATTCTCGAAACGTTGCTTTAGCTTGGTGTGTGGCTAATTTATATTGGAAGGTGCAAAACAGTTTCGATTTTTGAGAAATGCTTTCCTAATTTTGCTAAGTTTTGTCGCTCCACTGGCAGTCGTACAACGACCAAAAATATTAGAAAAAGAGCTGGCGAACAAGTATTTTATATATTTTATTCCATATTCAAGTCCGATGGCTTTTATTTGTGAATCTAGTGCGGCGTTGAGCGAATTAATAAATTCTTGGCAGATCATGCAAATTCTTAGTGCCTATTTATATGGTTGCGTTGCGTTTAGTTTCTACGCGGACGCAAACGCATGTCGAGTCCGAGGGATGATTGATGTCACTTTAAGATTCCGCCAGTACAGTCTAGGGTTCCGCAAGTTTCCATTTGAATCTGAAAGTTTATGTATATTGCTTAAAGGTCATTTTATTATGGCGGTATTAGGTTTGTTTTCATATATATTTACAGTAAACATACTTCAGACAATTTTACTATTGCACAAGGGGCCTCTGGAATGTTTCGGTACGGTATTACGAAAAAGGTCAAACCGCTGTCATAGAGTCTAGACAAGCAAAAACTGATTTGTTAATAAGGCCCCAAGTCAAGTTTGAGGGCGATATGTGGGTTCCCAATATATCCAGGGTTTCAAAACAAAAGGGCGAACGTTGAAATTCCAAAAATGTTTTCGAATAAGTTACAGGAGTTTAAAAAACTAAAATATTCGTTTTTACTTATTTTCTCAAAAATCGTTTTCAAGCTTCGCTATTGGGTTTGCAATATATCCAGGGTTTCACAACGAAAGGGCGAAAGTTAAAATTCCGATAATGTTTTCATTTCGAAATCTGCAGAGAAATAGGCGCTGTCTAAACGGATATCTGGTATTTCGATAAGAGGTTAGAGGAGTTTAAAATCCAAAATATACGTTTCTATTTATTTCTCAAAAAATCGTTTTCAACTTTCGCTCTTGGGTTATACTCCTCCTTAACGAGGCTTTAGGCTTCATGAGGTTTTTTTATATTTATCTTTCGGAAAAAGATAAAATACGACCTGATAGTGTGGCGGGCAACGCTGTTTCGTCCAAATCGAATACGATAATAGCTGATCGGTTAGTCGTCCCAGTTGCGTGGGAATGGAATAAACAAAATAAAACCTCGTGCGTGCGGGCACATCGGTGTGCAGATATCTATGTATTACGATCGCATCTTCTATGGCCCATAATAGGTCTGAGAGTATATTATCACATTAAGTAATTTGCAGTAAAACCTTTATAAAAACGCTGTAATGTTTTTCAGTATTCTCACGTGCGAATAAGAAGGTTTTTAACACCGCCAAGTTCTCATAAGGTACTTCTTGTTTTGTTCACTTCTGATGTGTACGAAGTTTATATGAGAGAACTGGGGTAAAAAGTGAAGCATTGCAAACCTTTTACAATATATTTTGGAGGCGACGATAAATAAGTCAAGAGAAAAAAAATATTGGAAGTTTGAAACTCGATTCTCAGGAGGTTGTTTGTTTTGGCTTGCTGTTTAAAGTATGCTATAATTATTAGATGTTCTATATTTCCTCTCTGAGCGAGGCTTTTTGCAGACGTGGGCTAACGTGTATGTGGCTATTATATAGTGCGAGGGCCAGAGCCTGGCCGCTTTGTTGTACAGCAAACCCGACACATACAGCCTGTAAAATCCCTTTTCTATAGCAAGTAGGACATCTATCTCTGCCTTTTAGTTACTTTGTTAGGCATAGAATAATTCAAGAGAAGTGGGAGGATCTGTATTTTGTGTGAAATTATAATTACAAAGTTCAGTGTTTCATATGTTGTGCAACTATTGCTGAATAACAAAATTATTGCTTATACTGAAACAATTCGTCAGCACGAAAAGGTATCGCAATTAAATTTTTTACTGATCAGTCCAGTTTCATAAACGGAAACACTGTCTTAATTAGTTATCGAAGTCAGAATTTGACGAATTATTATACGTAGTCACAGATTTTGAAAATACTTTCCAATTTATTTAAACAACTTTTACTTCAAAATGTAACTTTCAATTTATTTTTCTAAGTTAGTCCTATTTGAAAATAGTTAATATTCCGAAGTATTGATACAGCATAGTAATCATGTATTTTACTTGGATACTCATGATGCTATGCGTTGGAATATCACATGGACAACGAATTCCCGAACAAAGTTCGCAGGTTTGAGTTATTAATTTCACCTCGGATCTCTTTCCTTTACTACCCTTTCCACGCGCTGGTCATTAAGAATTTAAATTGAAAGAGACTCAAACCGATAATAGCAAATGTCTTGGGTTGGTACTTGTTCAATATAAAAGTAGTGGCACTCGACTGTCTTTTTATTTTACAATTTTTTTTACCTCTTTTGATTATTATTACCCCTAAGCATAAATCGGTCAGCATCGACTATAATACACTATTCAAACTAATGTGTGGTTTATGCATGATTTGAATAAATGGCTACAGTCGTTTTGCGTTCGCTAATTTCGTACGAAGATTTTTCAGTTGCTGTCGTAGGGTGCTTCAATAAACCGCGTAACTGCGCTGCATTCGCCAACCAAGTTAGTGCATTTTTCTTGCGTGTCGGTGGCAGCAAGTACATAGCCTTGTTTGGTTACAAAGCGTCATAAACAATTACAAGAATAAGTGTCACGAACCCGCAGAAAACACATAGGCACGATTTTCTAAACAGGTTTTAAGAATGTAGCTCGCCTTTTGATACGAAAATGGCCCGGTAGAAGCGGCAACTGATAGCTAACGATATCTTAAAGGTGCAGCATTAGGGCAGCCTCGTTATTCTATCTCATGCATAACAGCATAGATAATTTGTCCAACCCCCGAATTATTTTTGATTATAAGGCGATTATTATCAGGAACTAGTTCCGGCAGCAGATAAGTTTGAAATCACACCCCAAGATTGCTACTAATGTCGGAACGCGCAAGACCATACTCCACTATTGATTGATATGCTCCACATATTTACATTTACTGATATTTTACATATTTTAGGATCAGGAAATGCATTTGTATTGCACTAACCGAGACCAGCATTCCGTCAGAACCGGTCACAGAATTAAACAAGGAAAAGCTGGGCCTGCAGGGCCTCCTGGTGTCGTGAATTACAAAATCGTAAATGAAACTATAAAAGAACATTTCAATTGTATGTGATTGCTAAGGTTTGTCCATAGGACATATTTTTCTGACCCATTCCCACTCCATAGCAATTATTCTTGTCACATCACATGGAATTCCCATTGGAATAAAATTCCATAAAAATTGTTAGATTTAGGTTTAGCGTCTACTAAATAGGACTACATGTACGAAGAGACATGCAAAACAACAAGATTTATGGACTTTGTGCCTATCAGCCCGTTCACGAAGTATGTTGTTAATGCTGAATATATATTTTGTTCTTTATAACTAGCAAGAGAGCTATGCTCAAATATATGAACACGAAGTCCATAACGAAATGTTTTACCATCATTTCCCCAAAAATCATTCGGTTTTCGTGTCCCACGTGAAATATGGGACGTTACCCATTCCCATGGACAAGCCTGGACTAATTGCCAATTAAGCATATCAGATTTTTATTGAAATTGTAATTGGGGTTCATAGGGTCGTTTGTAAGAATATTTACTACAATTTTTTGTATGTTCACTGAGCTTTCTATGCAAATAAGTTACTCCGATTTTTTCAGATTTATATTTTCGTAGCACAAAAAAAAAGAGTACACCGATAACATTAAACAAAGTAATAATGATGAAAAAGCCTGGATTCATATATAGCTCCATTAGTACCCTTAGTCTTTGTATCTATGAAGAAAACTAAAAATCGAAAAATATTCCATTAAGAAATTCGTTTTGAATATATTCGCAAGGTTACGTGAATTTAAAATACATAAAAAATATCGGCACGCTTGTTTTGGATTTTTTATTTTTATCAATGTTCTACAGGTGGCGACATTTTCGTGAATATTGTATTATCTTGAAATAATGTTATTTCATGTTTGATAAATTTTTGTTCAGATATTTCCGGACAGATACAAGTAAAGCTGACTCAAATTGGTCGGGTTGTTGAGCAATCTAGCGAGGACATAGAGGATTTGAAAGCAGGTAAATAGTAACGAGAGCCGTGCTCAAATATTTGGACCCAAGGGTTAAAACGACGTAGTACGGGTATGCAACCTGTCATAGTAGACTACCAGTAGAGCAGTGTTCACGAGTGTTTTTGTTTTACATAATAAAAAAAACGATCCATATTTTCACTTCGTGTCCAATAAGACGATTACTTTAGTTAAACTTGAGCATACGAGGTTGGAATCGAGGTAGAAGCGATGGTTTGCGTTTGCTCTAAAGCAGGGGTAGTTTTCATACCAGGGGCCGAAAATTTTGCTCACTTAGGCTGGCGGGCCATGAGAATGTGACGTAAAAAGTTTCATTTTATGAACAATATTCACTGTATTACAAAGCAAAGGTGGGAAACAATACGGCTCGTGCCAAAACTAACTTTGACCGCAATATCAACAAATTCCTTGAGCTATTTTTAGCATAAACACCAAAATTTTATTTCAGTTTTGTTGTGGCAGCATCAGTCGGGCCAGATTGAATTACCCAATGGGCCGGATTTGGCCCGCGGGCCGTACTTTGCCCAAGGCTTCTTCGTAAAAGTCTATAAAAAATTATATTTGTTGTGCATATAGTTTTCTAGCTTGTAAATTTCATCATTTTCTTTCATTAAAGCATCTGGACACACTCAAACAAAACTGAATGGGATCGAAACCGATATTAAAGGATTGAAATCGGGTAAATCAGGAATAATTTCTAGTACAGACGAACAAAAACATCTTATAAGGAAACTAGAATACTTATCTCCTTCCTGATTATTTGCTTTGTAATTGAATAGGTCATTATATTTTGATTTCAAATATATTACTTGGAAAAAGTAAGCCCATAAGATTTATATATACATATATATAGGATGTGAGACGATGATCGAGTAAATTGGATTCTACAATATGATTGAATGGGACAGTATAAAACTAAAAATAAGAATAATGTATTCTTTATCCAAAATATGAATTTTATATTTGTTTTATCTTTTTGAAATACAATGGGACGCTTTTGTCATTCAAAGCCTGGATCATATAAAGCTCTATTCAATCCCTTAGTCTTTTGTATTTATTAAGAAAACTAAAAATATTCGACGTGGAACATTTTAATTTGAATTAGTTTTGAAAATATTCCTATGGTTAATAAATATCGCTATGCTTGTTTTGGGTTTTTCTATTTTTTATCAATGCCCACAGGCAGACATTTTCCGTGAATAATGTATAATTTTAAAATAATGTTGTTTCAATCCAGATAAAATTTTGTTCAGATATTTCTGGACAGATACAAGCAAAGCTTACTGAAATTGGTCCGATTGTTGAGAAATCTAGCGAGGACATAGAGGATTTGAAAGCAGGTAAATCGTTAAGGAATTATGAGATCCGTGCTTAAATATCTGAACACAAAGATCAAAACGACGTAGTACGGGCATGCAACCTGTCATAGTAGTCTACCGATAGAGCAGTGTTCACGAGTGTTTTTTCCATTTTAAAAAAACTATCCATATTTTCACCTCGTGTCCAATAAGACGATTGATTAATGGTTAGTTAAACTGGGCATACGAGGTAGAAGCTTTTTTGCGTACGTGCTAAACGCATTCTCGTAAAAGTCCATAACAAATTATATTACTCGTGCATATAGTTTCTAGCTTGTTAAATGTTATCATCATTACTTATCGATTTTAATCGGTAAGTATGTTGATAGGTATTTGTATGTCTGTATGTTTGTCTGTTAGATGCACGCGATATCTCACGAAAGCGAGATTGAATCTGCTCCAGATTTTGCATGTGCATTCATCTTATCTCGGACCAGAAGTCTATTGATTTTGGGCGAATTATGTCGTATAATTAGCGAGTTATCAATCAATTATTGATATAGTGATCTAGATTTTTGTGAAGCGAGAGAATTTTGAGACACGCCCGTGTGTGTGTGCGATGCGCAGTGCGCAAGTTACAAGAGCGGTTGAATCGAAACTGCAGTTTCTGTTTTGGGGGATCCTCTAACTATCGATCGATAAGTCTTCGGTTTCTAACCGATATTTTCGTTTTTCTTTTAATAAAGCATCTGGACGCACTCAAACAAAACTAAATGGAATCGAAACAGCTGTTGAAGGATTGACATCAGGTAAATTTGTCGAGTAAAGACGAATGGAAATATCGCATAACAAAGCTAAAATATTTATTACTTCATTATTATATTATTGTAATGGGATGGACATAATATTTTAATTTTATATATATTAATAGAAAGAGAAGCATATATTTTATATACATATTAAGATACTGAGATTATTGCTCATTTGAATAACGAAGACATGATAATAAAAATGAGTCTAAATTCACTTCACAGTAATGCAGCAAATCCGAGAGCAACTGGAAAGTCTCACGACAAAAGTGGCAAGAATTGAACAGATTAGCACATGGTATCAAACGCAACTACTATTACTACAAACTATTTCACAACGAGGTCACTTACGCAGATGCGAAGGCAAATTGTAAGAGACTTGGAGGCCAACTGGCATCAGCGGGATATCGAGATGCAGACGTTCGCAGGTGATTTTAGTTGTTGGGAGGAATAAGGGACTCATGATCGAAGTCCGATTCAATCGCAGAATAATCTACACCGGTGTTGCTCAATTTTCATATTACAAACCCTTCGGACTAGTTAGTAAAAAGTCGTCTTTTATAATACTAAATACTACAATTTGGAATGACAGTTAAGATCTAGCGCCCATTATTCTTGAAAAATATCTAAGAGGCATTATACTTATAACTAATGGTCAGTAGTTGAATAATGGAATAATAAGTCAAATACTGGGCAAAAATTAATTCGAATTTGGCAATTTCTAGTCTCAAAAGTGAAAAAACACAAAAGTGAACAAACCTTCGGTTTGTCATGCTGTAGAGTGTTTGTAAAAAGACAGACATAAACAATTAACGTATTTGGTTTTAGAGAAATCTTACCCTTGGTCAAATCTGGAGGATCCTCCGCTTGGATTGGTTTGAACGACATTCAAGAGGAGAACGCGTTTATCTGGGAAGATGGTATAAAGGCAACTGCAGGTTCTACTCCATGGCATGATGGTCAACCTAACAGCCAAGGCGGTAATCAAGATTGCGTCGAGATGGCGTCTGGCTTTGATTGGGAGCTGAACGATGACGATTGTACACACGCAAATAAATATTTATGCGAGATTAAACCATAATTTCACATTTACGAAAAGCCAAAGACTGATAATGCCTAAATCATAACAAACATTACGGATACCTAACCAAGATCGGAGGATATAATACTTATAGTTTATTATCAACTTAACTGTCAACGAGAGATTGCTGGACTCCTCTTTCTCGATTAAGACGTCTCATATCCCTTCCCCTGGGATAAATCGAAAATATCATCCTATTCATAAAGCAATAATAAATCTATGTCTGAAGGGTCCATAATCGCTGTTCGACTAAAATATTTAGTATTCTCGAACTCCACAATCTTAAAAGGTTTATTGCATTGTATATACTTAGTCAGGACAAAATTTAGGAACGAGTTCTCTTTTGTGTCGAACCCACTAACAACGGGTTCCCCCATTTTAGAAAATTATTCCGAACTAAAATAAAACAAGGGATTCGCCTATTATCACGGTATTCCAATAACCGTTTTTGAACCACACAATCGGGTGGGCACTTAAGGGCAGGATCTGGCCCGCGGGCCGTAATTGTCCCACCCCCGCCCTAGAATAAACAGATTTATTCGGAGGTTCTAAAATGCCAACATAAGACTCGAGCATCAATAGGTATGTTACATGCCCGACAACACAGCACTGCCCTAAATAAGCGGTATATACAGGGTGATTGAAAGGTAACTCCCTATTTTAAAAAAACTATAGTTTATTTTTAAAATATAATTTCTACAATTAATGAATATGAGAAGGAAGTATAATGCATGGGCTTATTGAAAAGTAACTCCCTATTTTAAAAAAACTATAGTTTATTTTTAAAATATAATTTCTACAATTAATGAATATGAGAAATTTTCAAATTTATTTTATTTCAAAACCCTACAAAAATGGCTGGACGTCTTACTCTACAGGAACGTGCCCAGATAGCCGCGCGTTATGAAGTTTGGGGATGCATTGTTCAAGTGCAAAGATGGTGGAGAACTATTAAGGGAAAACATGCCCAAATTGACCCGAAGACGATCAAGAATTGTCATAAAAAACTTATGACCACAGGATCTGTGGCTGATACTCAAAGAAGCGGTCGTCCTTTCAAATCCAGAGATCCTGAGGTAGTGCAAGTTGTTAAAGAAATGTTTACCCGTAGCCCACATAAGTCAATTCGTCAAGCAACAAGAGAAAGTGGGCTCTCCTTTCATTGTGTACGTAATGTGCTAAAAAACGAGCTTAAATGGCGTGCTTGGAAGCCGCATTACTGTCAAGCACTCTCTGCAGAAGACTTTGACATTCGTATGGAGTTTGGTGAAATAATGTTGGCTTGGTTTAGAGATTGGCCCAACCTTTTTAAAAATATTCTATGGAGTGATGAAGCTGTATTCCACATAGGTGGATTTGTGAACCGTCATAACTGCCACTACTGGGCGGAAGAAGATCCTCGTGTTACCTGTGAAAAAATGCAAAATCGATCCAAAGTAACGGTATGGTGTGGAATTACTTTTGATAGGATTGTGGGTCCCTTCATTCTTCGCGATACCATGAATGCCGAAAGGTACCTCGCTATGTTGAAAGATGAAATTTGGCCAATTATCAGTGCTTGGGAAAATATTGAAGATTTGATTTTCATGCAAGATGGAGCTCCTCCACACTTTGCTATTGTTGTTCGTGAATGGCTAAATGCTCAATTTCCTGGAAGATGGATGGGTCGTCGCGGTTCGCACGAATGGCCTGCCAGAAGTCCTGACTTAACACCCTGCGACTTTTTTCTCTGGGGTTGGCTGAAAGAGGAAGTCTACTCAACCAAACCAAGAAATTTGGAAGAACTTGAGGGGCGAATACGTGAAGTTATGACTTCCATCCCGCAAGAGTTTCTTGCGAAATCAGTTGATGCGATTCCTGGTCGACTTGAGAAGCTGGTGGCAAATAAAGGCGCCCATATTGAATTTTAAATAAAAGCCCATGCATTATACTTCCTTCTCATATTCATTAATTGTAGAAATTATATTTTAAAAATAAACTATAGTTTTTTTAAAATAGGGAGTTACCTTTCAATCACCCTGTATACCTAATGGTGGGGTCCGAAACCGGTCATTAGAATACAGTGAAAACCGGTTAATGGAATATCGTGATATAATGAAGTGTTTCACTTGTGTCTACTAAAATTATGCCTATAGTTTCTATGGATATAAATTTTCATTGAAAATATCGATAAAAATAACGTCACAATGATCCCGATTGTTATATTGTGCTTCTTATTATTACATAAACGTTAGCCTAGCTGTTGCAAATTAACTGTTTTATTTTTATTCATAGTTTTTCATAATAAGTTTTGAGAATCTCAGACCAGTAAAGTAAATGACCTGGCCCAATCAGTTAAGTGATTGCCCACCCCCAGATAAAGAAAAATTGAAACTTCCAATTCTGAGAGTTCGATTTGAATTTAGCAGGATTTTTCTAATTACCAGAGTGAAGATTCGAACACAAATGATTATACGGAATTAAGAACGCATTCTTACCAAAACCCCCCTATTTTATTTTTCAAATGTAACCTCTGAAAAAGTAAGAACAAAGCACCCCCCCTCTCCCCCTGAGCACCGAATTTTATATATTGTCCATATTTAAAGTCGTTCACAAAAAATATTCAACTAATTTTGTTTGGACTTTAGCCAGTTAAGAAATGTAGCATATAGGAACACATTGAATATTATAAGAACATGTTGTTGCACGTTGTTGATGTAGTTTAATATTGTAGATATACACGGAGCACAAATGATGAAGACATGACGACACGACACCGATCCAGACGACTTGACTCCTAATACAAGACCTTTTCAATAACTCCCCTCTTCAATACCCCTTTCAAATATCCAATTGAAACCTTATATACGTATGCGCGTATGGTGATATCGATTCCATTAGGGTTATCGATTCGGGTTGGAATACTAATTAGCATCTGGTGTCATCGATCCAATTATATTTTTGGTTGGCATCTGTTGTATAATTACAACGGGCCCTTTATCGATCTAATTTATGAATTTGGAGAATTTCGAAATAAGCAATTTTTAGTCTTTTTATAATTTTTTTATCCCTAGATAAGTAGATATATCTACGCTCTTTAGATTGGAAATCGGGGTTTCGGGCATATTTGTCACCTAACGTTTATACGTAAATTTGAAAACATTGAAAATGACAAAAAACACAATTGAAAAATATACATATATAAGGAAATTCAAAAATATGGGACGAGAAGATTTAGAGGGAAGTAGGATGACAGTAAGAGTATGGATTAGAAAAGAAAAGACGATTTATTGTTTTTTTAAATTTGATTTCGACAGATAAAACTGATCTTTCAATCCAATATACTTCGTCACACTGAATTACTGATAGCTCATGTGTTTGAATAACCCTAGTTGGATGAAAATAGCGCATTGTAAATTCGCTTGTTGCGATATGTTAATAATGCCAGCTTCGGGCTTTGAAAAAAAAGAAATATAGCGCTTTGTTTGTTAAAAAAATTTGTCATATACTCGTTTTGACGAATATATTGATGAGCTCATTTATGCACCGTTCTTATAACGATGTTATAAACGTTTAAGAGAGTGACTCATTTGAGTCATTCTTTAAAAATAGTTCAGTGTTAATGAAATCTATCTAATCGAAATAGTTTGAATCCGTCAAATTTTAATTAATATAAATGACAAGAAATTTGAAATCGAATATTCACCTTCATTGCATAATCAATTGGCCATAAGATTAGTTGCAATTTGAGTAAACACTCAAACTCTGTTTTCAAGCAATTCATAGAAATTGAGATCCTAATTAATATTGCCAAAGAAGTTAAAGAAGGACTATACATTGAGAAAGCAAGTAGTACGATAAATGTCCCAGTTAGGAGAAAAATCTTATGTATATATAACAAAGTAAAACAAATTGATGAATAAAAATTTCATATTTCATT